ATAATTTATTTTATAACAATTTTTGCAGGTTATGTTGTTTGTAAGTTGCATGAACATAAAACAGAAACAGTAATACGGAATACGCATGCGTCAGATTGATGGTTAGAAGATAATCCTCAAACCATTCTGATAGATTTCGAACAGGTTTGAATCTTGGATGGAACAGAAAACTGATAGTTTACTAATGGTTGGAAACTCACGTTGGAACGCAATCACATTACTGCGCAGAATTCTGACTGTCAGAAACTGTTTCTGACGCTGGTTGGAACGAACCTATCATTTTAAGCAATACTTTCCTTGTCATACTTCTTTACAGTTTGTTCAGTTATTTAGTAGATATCAGCTATCATGTTTGTGCTCGTGAAAACAGAAAATATCAGCTACTTGCGATCGCCTCGGCTGCGCACGGTTGCAATGCTGATACTAAATTAACATATAAACGAGTGCGATTGCTGTTAATCATAAAGTGCTATAGGGCGAAACGTGGCCTTCAACACGCTATTTATAGGCACTTGCCGCCAGCCCCCTGCTGGTACCGCCACAACCGCTATGTTTCTACATTTTAAATCTGTAATATCTTTGAAAACATTTTGTGACCGTTTTAAGGTGTAGAATGCTGTAGTACATTATTTTATTCCTTCTCGTAGGGTTCAGCCAGCGTTTGCAATGTAAACGCAAAAAATGTGCTCTACTATATTATGCATGTTATATACATATAAACCTTCCTCTTGAATCACTCTATCTATTAAAGAAACCCGCATCAAAATCCGTTGCGTAGTTTACTAATCAATTCAATATTTTCATTTCCTATTCTTGAAATATCGGTAGAGAATTCCATAACACGTTTTCAGGTTTCTTTGACAAGAATAATAAGATCCCCTATGAAAGATTCAGGTCGAGCACTGTCAGACCTTTCATTCATTTTTTGGTGGTAAAAAAAAGCTTTCAAGGCATATTTATCTGGTAATGGGAGAAATTCTTCGGAAAAGCTATAGTTGCATCATACATAAAATTCTTTGAGATCTGAGGGAGACACTCTAGAAAGTACCAACGGAGAGCCGTAGCAAGTTTTAAGCATTTTCCTTTTCTCTGTGCACCTAAGACAGGCGTTGACGAGGGTAATAATTATCGAGTTTGATTGAAGTTAATTGAAAAGTAGATTTTAGATAAATTAAGATTCAGGCAGTTACTTTTAACCGCTCATTTGTTCCCTCATTTTCAATTTACGTAAAAGTCTATGTCAGTTCAATACTCGAATCTTTTGATTCGATATTGTTCCGAAGTAAGAGTTCTCCAGTAGTAATATCGTGATCAAAACGGCCTATAGCGGCGTATCGCCAACAACATATGCAGGAAATTTTCTGTGAAGACTCCTGCACTGACACCTGTCAGATATAGTCCAACCCCCTTCGTGGTATTAGCCAGGGGAGTAGTTGTTTTCTGATAGGTGTCAATTAACCTACAGTGTAGGGAGTTGAGACGGGCCTGAACGAATTTGTTCCTTTAGATAAATTCATTCATAGCCAGTCTTCAAGTATGTCCGCAGACTGTTTGTGAATAGTTCAAGGTTATTGGCACACCCAACATATATGTTGCACATATACAGTGCAGATGTTGAAAAGACAAAATATGAAGGTCGAAGAAAAATGTATGCGAAAAAATATCATTTTCCATACTTTTTCAGTTTGATTATGCACGAACCCCCAGCCTCCAGAATTGTATGGATTAATCAAACACCACAAAGAAGGACATCCAGTCAGACCCGTGGTATCATATATAGACGTCTCAAACAGTAAGTTGTCTAAATTTTTAAATTCAAGATTCAGAGACCTCACAAAATTTAATCCTTCAAACACAGTGCTAAATTCAGTAGACCTAGCTGACAAACTATCAAATCTGAATATAAAAAATAATATCAAACAAGTATCGTTCAACGTGAAAAACATGTTTCCAAACATCCCAACAGACGAATGTCTTCCCCTCGTGAAATACATATTGTAATGAATCTGAAGCCGGCCCTGACCGATGTCCCAGTCAGCAAACGCATGACGCATCGCGAAATACCGCGAAAACTCCGGATGGGTCCCGAAATCCGCAGAGGGATCCGGAACGTTCGTTGACGATATAAAAACGTCGCTCTTCATCCCGAAGAGTAGTCTGTACCAAGAAAGCGAATTGAGCGGTTAACAAACGGTGAAGATAAATTAAGCGTTAGTTACTGAGTGGTGTAAATAAATTAGTTGTGATAGTGAAGTATTGTTAAAATAAATTTGTTTAAGACAGTTAATTCTTTAATTCGTTACAATATTATATAAGAGTCATACAAATCCATATATAACTACCGAATTTTGCAATCTCCTTGGTACATGTCTGAAACAAAATTTCTTCAAAAAATATAATAATAATTTTTACTTGCAAAACTCAGGTCTCCCTATGGTCTCACCATTAAGTCCCATTCTGGCAAATATTTTCATGGACACATTAGAAACACTTTGTGTTTTGGTTCAGATATGTTGATGATGTACTGATTGGTTTTGATGGTTCAAACAGACAAATTAATCAGTTTTCAAACTTTCTCAATAGTCTACATAACAAAATTAAGTTCACAGTAGAAATCGAACAAAACAAGGAGCTTTAACTTCTTAGATTTGAATATTTCAAGAGTTAATAATGGTTTTCAATTCAATATCTACCGGAAAAACACGTTCACAGACTGTACAATTCTCTTTGACTCTTTCAGTCCGCTCTCACATAAGTTATCCGCGTTTAGGTCAATGATACACAGAGCTTTCGCAATCCCTTAACCGGAAAAAAAATTCCAAGATGACATAAAAATAATTAAGCAAATTGCACAGAACAATCAGATACCAATTTCCCTAATAGAAAAGATAATATCAGGTAAATTTCACAAAACACTTATGAGTGAATTATACCCAAACTGTCGAGAACACAATATAGTCAAGTACAGTAGCATCAATTACTCAGGCAAACTTTCAGATAATATTCAAAATTATTTCTCTTAATACAAAATTTCAACAGCTTTCACAAGTAATAATAATTTAGGTAGAATCCTGTTTAATGCAAAACCCAAACGGGATAGAATGAAAAAGTCAGGTATATATAGAATAGAGTGTGGCGAATGCTCTGCAGTATATACAGGCCAAACCGGTAGAAATTTTGAAATAAGACTGCGTAAACATATCTGTTATTACATATATGTAATGAAGGGAGAAAAATGAATCTGTTGGAGGCCATGGAAATTAACAAATCAATTAGAAACCAGAAACATATACCCCTAAACAAGCAACTTGATTTATGTAGGTCTCATCTCTTGAATTTATTAGTTTAACAACCCCTAGAATTTTCAGGATGGTGTTTTAAGTTGGCATCCTGTCTCTCAAATATCTGGCCTTGGAGCATACCTGAAAATTCTATAAAATCGATGTTCCAAATTCAGATTTCAGTTTTATACTTGATAATGGGATCAAACCCGAAACCGGTCATAAAATAAAATTTTCCAGTGGTATTTAGACAAAAGTGTTTTTATTCATTTGAGTGATACAATAAACTGTATTGATTAGTTTTTTTATTATTTAACTAGTAGTTTTTTGTTTGTCTTGTATTATAATCACGGATGGTATTTATTAAAATGTTCATGGTTCATTTCCTGGCAATAATGAAGTTTGTTTACAAATTCATTTTATACATTTGGATTACTCGAATCCCCACCAAAAATCCAAGGGCATAATATCTGGTGATCTAGCGGGTCATTTCAAGGAACCACATTTGCCTATCCAACCAAGTTGGTGACTTCAGGAAACGAAAAAAACTAACATTAGTAAGGTTTACCCCACCTCAATTTGGAAAACTAACATTAGTTTTCGTCATCTCTTGAAGACGCCAACTTGGTTGGTGAAACACGGATCCAGAAGAGTATTGCAGCTCTGCTGTTTCGAAAAAATGCTTGTTTTGGAGATTTCAAGGAGATATGGGATATCTGAAATGTACTGTACGCAATCGTTTTAACGTGCTTGAAATTTCACGTTCAAAGGTAGGTTGGAACATTTCAAAAGAAATATATTTGTACTACAATACTGTCAGAAAGCGAATGCAAATATTTAAAATATTTATTGGAATATATGAATTCTTTGTTTTTTGGGCTCCAGTCTCAACAATAACAAGATTTTCTAGTACATACTAATGAAATCAGTTCTAGAATATTAACAAAAACACCAAGATGATACTTGAAATGAATATATCTGGCATATTGTTAAGACATGAGCTACCAACAGATGTTACATAACGAATGTTCAATAATGACTTTTTGCAGAATAGGTCAGTTTTCACACAATGATAAATGTATTTATTTTCAGAAAGTATGCTGCTTTCATAGTGATTTAAAATCTGTTGCAAGAGCTTTTTAATGAAAATGAGTTCTCGCCTAGTCGAAAAGTTGTAGATGACAGAGATAGCCTTCAGAGTAGTACAATACTCTCACGAGCAATAAATTCCCTAGAAATGTTGAAGATAGTAAGAATAGATAAAATCTAGACGAAAACACACACATAAAACATGTAGATACATAAAAATACGTTCACACCCTGCTTAGCACACCATAAACAGTAATACTCGTGATGCACTGTTTGGAACTTTTGGTGTGGTAACGAATATTACTGGACTTCTATACCAACACTGAACCATTATTTTTAACACCTCAACACGTGTTTCAATCACCAAGAGGAAGATTAAACTAAATCTACATACAATGTTGTCCTTATTTATATCATAGATAACTCTGCAAGGTACCTGTGTCTTAATTGTCTTAAAATTTCACAATTTTGCCTATTCTACTAATCAGGTAAATCTGATAACTAAAAATACTATTTCAACAAGCTATATAGTATTGGTCCACCATCGTTATTCATGAAATCAAATCAAAATATACTTTATTGTCCGAAGATTTGCATCTTATTGACAAAGTCCAAGAAATACAATATCAATAGGTATAGAAAAAGTACTAAAAAGTATAAATGTAGATATAAAAAAGTTCCAAAAATGTATGACTGTAAATATAAAAAAGTTCTAGAAATGTATAGATAAAATACCACCATGTACAGTACAGTGACAGTACAAAGAATAAATTGCTAATATATTGTTGAAAGGATTCGCTAAAATACTCTTCCAAACTATAATAGGGTCTATCAACAAGTTCACCGCCTTTTTGAAATGAATGTTGCTTAGATTTGCAGATCTTATTTCTAATGGTAAATGATTGAACAATTTACCACCATTATAGTATATGGAATCCTTGATTAAATTCGAAGTTGGGATGGGAAGTCTAAAAGTATAATTGCTATTGCGAGTAGCATAAGGAGTAGAAGCAAAGTTGAACTTCGATTTATGTTTGTAAATAAGGCAAACCGTCTCTAAGATGAAAAGTGTGATGACTGTTAACATTTTATTAGCAGTGAATAAATTCCTGCACGATTCTCTGGGTTTGACTTTACAGAGACATCTTAGTGCTCTCTTCTGTAATATCAATACAAAAGAGAGAAGGGACGAGTTGAGTGCTCCCCAAAAAGGTTAATAATTTAACGGGAACATATCTAATAATTTTTTTTATCATAAGACAATCTTGTAGACAAAGCTTGGGTAGTAAATACTTAAAAAAAAATGCAATGAATTAAAAATAGAAATGGTGCATGGGTACAAACTGAGTTAAAATGGAGGATATAAAAGATATGTATATATAAAATAGTAAAAGTCAAGTTTATAAAAGAGTGGACATAAAAAGTAACAACTTAAGAGCCTCCTAATAAGTAAAGATGAAAAATATGAGTTCGAGGTGATAAAAATAACGGTTTGGTGTTGGGATAGAATCCAGTAATGTTCATTAACTGTAATGAAAAAAATAATCTTCCCGACAACTGACATCTTTGAAAATAAGTTTCCCAACAAGATAGGTTATAAATTTCGATTTGTATGATATAAGGATCAATTCCCCAAGAAACATAGATAACCCCAGGGTCTCATAACTCTTACCCAACTGATGTTGAACTCATTATCCTCCTCTTCAAACCTTACATTCACGATACCCCTCCTTCGAAATCAAGAGAAAATGGGGAAAGTAAATCCGGCAATTCAAATTGATAGTCAGGTAGTGGCGATTCGCTCTGTGATTTAAAGCCAGTAATATCCATTAAATGTGAAATCCTAATTTTTTTAACAAAAAAATTTGAGTTTTTCAAATAGGTGTGAATGCTTTGAAGTGTATCAGAAGTAGATACGCACATTTCTCAAAAACAAATACTTCAAATTTTAAATAAATATTATATTTCTTCTCCTTCAAAGATGAAAAAAAAAACTGAATATTTGAATACGAAATCTAATGACAGGTTTTCTAGAAAAAGTTGGTTATAAGGTTATAATTATCAAATCAGAATGCTCTATTGATCCTATATGAAAATTCCAAATTAATAGTCATCAAAATCCATACATCAATTTATATTAAAAAAAAAAATAGCCAAATCAATTTTGATCCTTTGAGTTGGATATTACAATCTAATATACAGGGCTATTCAAATTCGTTTCTGTACATGGAGATCTCGTAAAAGATAAGAGATAGAGTGTCGGTTAAATTATGGCAAAGTTGCGTATTTTAGAGACCTATTCAATGATGTAAAGAAATCGAATATAGCTTTTTTGGTTCTGAAGATTTACAGAAAAAACCAAAAAATCCCAAATAATTTCTTTGCATATACCTTCTTTATTCGCAGGCATATTGAAAATTTGTCCATATTTTGCTTTTGGCCCTTGATGTGGGCTCTCAGAATATATCCATGAATCTTTTATACAGGGTGTCATCTGACTTGGGCCACCCCCATCTTTGAATTTTTAAATACGGACCTGTATTTTTTGTTGTAGTTTTTGGATCGTAGACGAGGTTTTTAGGCTATACATTTTTCTGTAACTCGCCAGTAGATGGCGCTGTAGAACAATTTTTTAAAAGCGCTGTTCTATAACGCTGCGCACGCCTAAGTTCGTTGATTATAATCCTGTCAAAACATTGAAACAGCAGCGATACAGCAACATAGTACTAGTAATATATATATGTATTCAATAAATCGTTTAGTTTGTCATTTTTAAAAATCTTAGCGATACCAAACCAAATATTATACATTTGCATTGAAGTTAAAGCAAACTTATACTCTCATAACCAATTTAATAATGTTATATGAATCGCAACAAGAAATATTTGTTCCATGTATACAATAAATTTGCCTTTCAAGTTAATTTGAAACTAATTTGAAATCAATAACAGTTATGAATTCTAATTTTTGAACGTAAAAGGTTATAATGGCCCAACAAAACAATCCAAATAATAAGTAAGTTTACTGATAAAAACTACACAATGATAAGATTCATCTCGATAAATAGGTGCGTTGAAATGTGAGAATGTTCTTTGATGTAATACAAAAACTAGCTGAACGTGCATCTAGAGTCTGTTCAAAATTCAAAAATGAGGTGAATTTTAATTTTTCTCAAAGCATATTCATTTATTCATCAATTTCTATGTTGTCCCCTTCAAAGTAGTCCTCCTCAGATATAATACACTTGTGTTAGCATGAACCTTACTGAGTTACATTTTTTTTTTCAATTTATCGCAGAGTAGGTCAATATGTGGATTCCATGTAAGTTTATGATCTACAGTGAAACCAAGCATTTTTGTTGTTCAGCAAGATGTAACCTCCATATCCTTATAATTAAAAATACTGAGAGTGTTATTCATATTACTTAACGAATATTTCATTAGTACTTTTTAATTGATGTTGAATCAGAGTCAGAAATGCTTTATTGTCATAAAAGTTTAGGTTTTGTTGACAAAGCAGGCTTAAGAACTAAAACAATCTGAAACATTAACATAAAGGTCAAGACTTTAGAACAAGATATTAATATGTAGTAGATGTAGTACTTAGTAGATGATTTTTAGAAGCCCATGTAATTACTTTTTTATAGATCAATTCAGTTATTTGTAGTAGTACTATGGGATTGTTTGATTTAACCAAAAGGTTAGTGTCGTCTGCATATGCAACTTTATGTACCATCATAAAGTCATGAAGATACGTTTTAGATCGTCAGCATAAATAAAAAAAAAAAGTGGTCCCAGTATGGATCCCGGAGTAACACCCTGTTCTATTGTTACTGGTTGACATTTCACACCTTGTACAATGACTTGTTTCCAATTCTCGAATATGATCTAGACATGAAACGCGTTCAGAAATAAAAAAAATGTGTGAAAATTGTCATCATGGATAGTAACGGGTCAGTCCATTCATAATTCCTAGTTAATACTGCTAAATAATGCACAACATTTTCTTTTGAATAACTGCGGAGAGAAAGACAAAAGTCTTGTATTGAAACTCGAAATTTGTAAGTGAATTTCTTATATTAATACCCTTCATAAATTGTTACGAGCGGATTAAATTAACCCTATGAAAGTGTCTAGTAACTGTCATTATGACAAGAGCAGAATTGTCTCTTCAAGTGTCATAAAATTGCAATTTTATGGAATTCGAGTGCTTCGCCTTGTGAAGTTATCAAAAAATGTGCTGATGAGGAGATAAAAACAAGTGTCTTGTTTCGAAACTTCGAAGTACATTGGGAATTTGCAACTGAAATTATTATATTAATACTATTCATATATCATGTTTACCGTACTTGATTTCAGTTTCAATTCTACAACGAATGTTTACTCAGTGAAAAGAAAAAGTGATTTCCATATAATTAATGTTCATATGTTTCTAAGTATGTATTTTTTTCATAAGGAATTTTTCTTCAAGTTTGCAACAAAATGACAGTTGTTTCGGTAATTCAGGCAGAGACTAACAATGCATCATTCATTCAATTGTTGAATTGAGATTAACGGTTTGCCAGGTCGCAGCTGATCCTTAACATAGAGACAAATAAGCATGTGTGATGCTCCAGCAAAGATTGAACTTTTTAAAAATGTAAGGTTATGAGACTATTATTACTACTACTATTACTTACTATAGCATGGGGAGGAACAGGAACTGGTCCGACAGGTTGGGTGGGCTGAGGTGTCGGAGGGGCTACTGTAATAGGTGTCACCACTTCGTGGGGTGTTGTAGAATGTGCCTGTTGGACGGGAAGAGCACCGCCTTGATAATAGCCGCCATTCACACCGGCCGGGGAGACTGCAAGAAATAGATAGATATTAGATAACAGTTGTTCACAAACAAATTGAAGGTTAGTACATTGACAACTACAAGACAGACAAAAACAAGGAAATAATGTTGGCAGAAAGGAATTCTGTTGGTGCATTTTCCATGATTTGCGGCATGTGTCTTCTCCTACAAAAATTAAGAGGAAAAAAAACCGTGAATGAATCGCGACATAAGGATTTAGACAAATCAAGATTCCCACACTCACTGCCTGAACGGTTTCTTACAATTTTTTTGATATAATATTTCAACTGAGGATCGATTGATACTGAAATTTTTATAGGTCGGTACCAACGAATGTGTTGATATTCGCCTCATTTGCCAATCTCACATGAAATTGATTTTCAATCGAATTGCACCAGAGTGATAACGTTTAAACATAAAATCATTAAATTAAGATGACACATACATACATACACAGCCCAAAAATATAAACCGATGTTAGTGACATCATGTCCTTAAAAAGTGTCGGTTTGAACAATTTGCTGTGCACCTCAGAATACGCTTTTGTAATTTGAAATTATTGAAATTTGAATTTGTACTCTGTTCATAAATTGATGAAGAGAAACTTCAATGAGATAGGTTTTGATTCGATGTTATTTACATAGAGGACCCATTATTGAACCTTGTGGCAAACCCATACTTCGATTCAGGCAATCAGAATTGACAATGGATTTCATTAATTCTATTGACTTGTATTGATAAAAATTCTTTTCTATTTGCAAGAATTGAAGTCATTCCACTGAGAAGAATGAAGTCAGCCATACATTTCTAATTCTGATCTGAGTTTTTATGATTAACGCAGTCAAATGCTCTACTAAAAGAATTATGACTGGGCATCCCCTATATAAATAATACCACTATCAGAATTCAGGTTGAATACAAGCAGTTACAAAATGATTCAAATGAATCATCTCTGCTTCAACAATTATGTCTGTTGTTGCTCTTTAACGATCAATAGGGCAATAGTGGGACAGCTGTCAGTTCGGTTAGTGTGAGTTCGTTATACTTGTATTCATTCAATAGACCACTAAGTGCAAAAAAGTGGTTCGAACCCTAATGTCCTGCCAACACGTATTGTCCAACTCGTGCTGGGAGTCGCACATTGAAAAGTCAAACCTCGTTAATCCTTAGTCGCACAAGTTCCTATTTTTTCGAGGGTTGCAGTTCTTAGTGGAGTAATCGCTGGTTAACCAAGAAAAACAACAGATTTCTCATATTGTTAACTTTACGGTATGAACAAACAACAACCCTGATAATTTATCGCACCGCCAGAGAGCCTTTTTTTCATACTGGACACATTATAAGCCATCGAAAGGTGAATTTGGTCTACTTCATCGGTCTTACAGATTTTGAAGCATCTCAGGTATGTCATCTGCTCTACAAAGACACCACGAGATATCCACGCATCTTTCCTTCAGTCGTTATTGCTCGAGTGTGAGCAAAAGCGACACCCATCTTGCACACAGCTCTCAGATAATATACGATGTACCACACTTTTTGAAATGCCTACTAAGTCTGTTAGCTTTCAGTATCGCTATGTGGATTTTCTTCGCAGTTTCTGGAGTCGTCACCTCAACTGCGATGCTGGTCTTGGCAGCTCGAACGACCTCGTTCAAACTCTGCTACCCAAAATTTTACTGTTGTAAACAAAAGAGCAAATTCATTGGTTGGGCTGCGGCCTTTCAAATGAATGTATTGAACCACATAAAGATGGCCAATTTTCTCCATTTTCACAAATTCACTGAAAAAGTTCGCTATTGATGGCTGTCAAACAAATTCTAAACAACGCAGCGTCTTCAAACTTGAAACATATGTTTTATAGATTGTTTACTTTTTAATACCGCGATATTTTTCAAACAACTACCGCCATCTCTAGGTCAGGCCGGGAACTTCTGGGACCACCCTCATACAGTCCCTAGGGACAATACTGCTGTAAAATAGAAACCTTAGCTGCAGACAATACAACAAATTAGAGACAGTTTTAGGCCAACCATTATGTCCTGAAGAATATAACAAATTTTCAACGATGGTCTTGAATAAACTGGTACAGAGAACAAGATAGTTGGGAAGCATGAAGCTGCAGTGATTTCTGGAAACTCGGTAGAAACGGACAAGTCAGTCGTCTCTCAATTAGCAGCAAAAATAAAATTTCACCATTTTTGTTCGCCAGTTGAGGATATTTCAGTTCACCTTAATCACTGTAATTTTCAGCTAGTAACATTTCCAGTGGTATCACAATGTGTCAGTGTTTAATCACGTTTATAAAAAAAAGTTCTATGAATAATAATGAAACAAACCCCAGTGTTAGTCAATAGTACCGTATATTACCTGTAACTTTGGGAAGAACCCGGTCCCATTATAATGAAAGTCAAACTCCAGGGTCAATAGTAACATATATTACCTGTACCTTCGGAAAAAACCCGGTCCCATAAAGTACTCCATAATATTAAAAGTTAAACCCCAGTGTTAGTCAATAGTAACGAATATTATCTGTATCTTTGGGAAGAGCCCGCTTCCATGAAGTACTCCATAATAACGAAAGTCAAACCCCAGTGTTAGGCAATAGTAACACGTATATTACCTGTAGTTTCAGGAAGAACCTGGTCCCATAAAAATAAAAGTCAAACCCCATTGTCAATAGTAACGTATATTACCTGTACCTTCGGGAAAAGTCCGAACCCATGAAGTAGGCCATAATAATAAAAGTCAAACCCCAGTGTTAGGCAATAGTAACGTATATTACCTGTACCTTCAGGAAGAACCTGATGCCATAATAATAAAAGTCAAACCCCATTGTCAATAGTAAAGTATATTACCTGTACCTTCGAGAAAAGTCCGAACTCATGAAGTACTCCATATTAATGAAAGTCAAACCCCAGTGTTAGGCAATAGTAAAGTATATTACCTCTACCTTCGGGAAAAGTCCGAACCCATGAAGTACTCCATAATAATAAAAGTCAAACCCCAGTGTTAGGCAATAGTAACGTATATTATCTGTACCTTAGAGAAGAACCCGCTCCCATAATAATAAAAGTCAAACCCCAGTGTTAGTCAATAGTAACGAATATTATCTGTACCTTCGGGATAAGAGCCCGGTCCCATGAAGTACTCCATAATAATAAAAGTCAAACCCCAGTGTTAGTCAATGGTAACGTATATTACCTGTACCTTCGGGAAGAGTCCGGTCCCATGAAGTACTCCATAATAACAGTCAAACCCCAGTGTTAGTCAATAGTAACGTATATTACCTGTACCTTCGGGATAAGAGCCCGGTCCCATGAAGTACTCCTTGTTGACGCAATTCCTGAGACATTCCGGTATCCGACCCGTGATCGCCCTCCTGATCTCCGAAGCGGCCATCTCTCTGAGTTCGGTAGCGGAGGCGTCGCTGTAGAAGGCCGCGTGCGGCGTGCACAGGAGATTGGGGGCGTCCTTCAAGGGCCCCGCGAACACGTTGTACGGCTCGTTCTCATGGACGTCGAGAGCGGCGGCGCGGATTCGTCCCTGTTTCAGCGCCTGCGCGAGCGCGTCGTCGTCCACCAGGCCGCCTCGTGCTGTCAAACAAAACAAACATATGATAATCTCTCATTTTCAATGGGTCCATCAAAATATATTTTATTGTCAAAGCCATGTCAACAAATTCGAAATGTCTGAAGACTGTATCGAGGGGTGACATATACGTATGAGAAAACAACTATTTATCCGGCTAATACCACGCTGGATATTGAATTATATCTGACAAACATTCATCTAAGACAACTCATAGAGGGTAGTCTGGCAGATGTTTTTCGTTCTTCCAGGAGTACCTTCGTCTAAGAGAAAGATTGTTAACAGCTTCATCTCGTGAACAAATTAATTAATAATAACAATAATATTTATTTATTCACATTTGAGATACATATAAGAAACATATGGTAAGTCAGATGTAAATGAACACTGATTAATGTGAATAAAATGCTCCCAACTACACGCAAAAATATACGAAAACAGTCGATCACTTCAAATTATTTGAAATGAAGCCTTTGGTATCATTAAAAATTATTATATAAAATTTTTTGAAACTATAAATTATTATGAAAATAGAAATGAGAATTTCTATGTTTTTACCACTTTTATTTGTAACTAACGTTACTGCAGTTTCGTCCTGTATGGACATTCTCAAACTTAAAGTTTGAGTTTGAGGAGTGCCAGAAGATGACAGTACTACCAACTGTCGAAAGAGCTCGCAGATAATTAATAGAAGATATAAAGCTTCAAATCCTTTTTGTAGAATTTAATATTGAAATATATATTATTTATATTGCGTAGATTTCAAACCAAGTTACTTCACGATGTTTCGATCGTCATTATCCACAGTCGCTTTCTGGTGATGACTGGGCCATTTCTCCGTGAGATAACTATTT